TAAAACATTAAAATAAATAATTTTTTCATACATAAGATGAAATTAATTTGTTTATCTTAACTTATTTTTGGATTAAATTGCATAAAATAACTTTTTTGTTAGCACAAAATATAACTTTAATATTAGGTAGAAAAATCATTTTAATTTTTATTTTATTTTATCTCATAAATTGTTATTAAAATTCTATTCAAATTGACTCTATTTACACAAATACGTAACATATTAATTATTTAATTTCTTAACAAGTATGTAAAAAAATATAATAAAAAAGTATACATTAAATATTTATCAAAAATACAAAAAATTAGGCTTTTATGTTTTTTATTTAGAAATTACAGAAATGTGAGTTATTTTGGCAAAATTACATAAATATATATTTTTTAGAAATTGTAATTGATAACTTTTGAGCACTTTTTTGTATTTTTTAATATTTAATTATTATTTTAAAAATTATTATTAGCGACTTTTATTTTTTAACACTTTATTATTTTTTATTTTTGAATTTTTATATTTATATTAAATATTGTCATAGAAAATTTTTAAACTTCATATTTTTATAATTTAAAAAAATATTATATTTTATGATATATAATTTCTAAATATCATATATAAAAAAATAATATGCATTTTAATAATAAAAATGAACTATCATTTATTAATTATTTATTATAGATTTTTAAACAAATGTTAAAAAAATTAATCACTTAGTGACATGGTGTGTGATTTGTCATAATTGATCTTACCCTTCAAAACAGGGAAGCTGGCAAAGGGGCATGAGTGGCGCCCAAGATGTAAGATCTTAAGTTCGGTGGGTTGTAGTGTTGTACGTTGTAGCCGTAATGTATGAATGTTCCTACGTACTTTCATGTGGCTGTGTCACTGTCATTAGCTCCTACAACTCCTAATAAAAGGTTCCTCATGTCATGTCCACCCATTCTATGACAAATCTACCGTTCATACGCACATCTCTTAGCATCAGTCTTCTTCCTGGGACCAGAGTCTTTTGTTGCCCAAAGAATTGACCCAATTTTCCGTAGTATGACTATTCTTTCCCCCATTTGTGTGTGCTGATCAAAAGTAGCAGCACAGCCACCATTTTAGAAGATGAATATGAAGACACCGTGAAGTTTGATAATAGCTTCACTATATTAGGGATCATTTTACTGTTGTATGGTTTTCACTGTTTAACTATTTTGAGTATTTTTTATTTTCGTTTCAAACTCTCTCAGATTATAGGTTATAAAAATGCATCTACTGTAACTTTTACCCTAATTATAATTTGGTTATTTTTAAAAGGAAACCTAATAACTTTATGTTCACATGTGCATGTGTTGTATATTATCATTTGAGCAAAGATACATTTGTATCACACATATTTTCAAAGGCTATTTAGCAGCATAAGAGTTATGCGTTTTTTAGGCATATCGTCTAAAAAGATTTATCTTTGATATTGCTAGATAAGGGAAAGTATTGCTAGAGATATAAATGAATCGAATTAAGTTAAATATTTAAAACTTTTAAGTTTGATTTATGAAAAAGAAATACAATATTTAAGTTTAATTAATTTGTTTAAACAGATTAAATTTAAAGATTAGAATTAAGTTCATAAAAGAATTTGACCTTGCAGTCTACTAATTAATTCATTTATAACCTGATTATATTTTATCAATTAAATAAATTTTTAAAATAATTTTAGGTTTATTAATTTATTATTTAATAGTCATTTTTATGTTAGAAAATTGAATAAGAGTTGGAAGGAAAAAATAAAGAAAGTTTTGGCCGCTACAAACGAAGGTTAGGACAAACTGAATTAGGTATCTCAAATTGTCAACTCTATAAGCAAGAAGAATGTAAATTTAAATCATCTAAGGTATTTTAAGCAAACTAATTAAGTAAATTTAAAGTTCATTCTCTCTCAAATTTGGATTAAGCTTACATTTAAATCCTAATATAATATCAAAGTTTAATAGAAAATTTTAAAATTAAGAAAAAGTTGAGTAAAAAACAAATCCTATGACATTAATTTTTTTTTTTTTAAAAAGAGTACAAATATAAGGCAATAAAAAGAAAAAAAAAATTTAAGGCAGCGGCATAAAGGCCAAAACATGAAGTATAAGCCTCAACTAAAAAAAAAGTGAAAATATATGTTTAGTTTATATAATTGACACTTATAAATTAGTCTTTACATTTTAAAAAATATTTTTTAATTTTTATATAAATGTTTTATTATATTTTAATCTTTTCTATTATTAACAATGTGATAATAATAATAATAATAAAAATATAATAAAATATACCAATAAAAATTGATTTAAATGAAAAGTAATTTAATATCGCTTAAGTAAAGTTTTAGATTTGAGTTAAAAAAATAAATATATAATAAAACATTCATATAAAAATTAAAATATAATTTTTTTAAATATAAAAATAAATTTATAAAATAATATTAATTATAAAAATTAAATATATTAAACTATTAAAAAATAGTTACAACTAGACTAAGTCTAGTTTAGTTGACTTTAAAAGAAGTGTTAGACAGTGAAAGTTTCACGTTAATGAATTTATAACCAATTAAAAGGTATAGAAGTAAGAAAAATATAAATCTAAGTAGTTTAAGTTATTTTAGACAAATAAATTAGTCAAATTTAAAGTTTACTCTTCCTCGATCTTAGATCAAATCCATGTCTAAATTCTAATAACTATTACTATTTGGATCATAACTTTAGCTACAAAATGAATGTGTACATTATGACAAACTATTCCTGACCTAAAACTTAAAGCTAAAACTTCTACGTTGGAGATGTATCCAAACTACTTTTGATCTTTTTGGTAAGTTGAAATCAGGTCAAAATGCCATGCAAGGTACATGCTTTTAATAATTTAGATATATCTTTGATCCTATTCGTATAAAAAATATTTAAAGGGTTCTATTAAACTTATTTGATCATCGCTCCTTGTTTTTTCTACAAAGTCTCTCACGGAGATAGCCATAAAAAAAATTAAGGGTTCAATTAATTTAAGAGATTCCGGAATTGTGGTTTAAATTTTGATATCTTGGTTTTAATTGTTGATTTCAAATGCATCTTTTTCTCACTTCTCAATTTTGGATCCAAATCTTGTAGGTATGATTATGATTGCTCTAAATCTGATTGGATTTAGGTTTGAGACTTTCAGAATTACAACAGAAATTAGGAATGATTGATTGATCTCAATTATGTTGAATCAATTGAGGCTAATTAGAAGGTTTTGGAACTTTGCATAAACCAACAAGGATCTAAAATATCTTTATGATTATAAATTAGTCTATGAAAAATGATAAAATTTCTTAGGTTGAAATATTAAAAAATTACAATTATGAAGTAATTCTAAATGTGATTTAGTGCATGTTTGAAATCCTTATAAAATTACGTTAACTTATATTTTAACGTAAGTAAAAGTTATAAGTTATAAAGTATAAATGAATTTACATTTAAAATGAATTTAAAGCAAACTAGCTTTAATAATCCCTTTGCTGTTGAAAATTCTATTTTCTTACTCAGTAGATTTGATAGCAGAACTGAGAGTAATCTTTAAAAGAATGAGCTAGATGTACCTTGTATACTGACACTGACACCTCATAAAATTATATACATCCTTCACACTATCACTGCTACTATGATTTTTACGTTCATTCAATCCATTCTATTAGCATAGGTAAAAGGCATTCACTGCTACTATCCTTCAATTAGTTCTTCATTTTCTGGGCCCAACCCTTTACCCGTTTGTGCTTGTCATAGCCCAATCCATATCCATCTACCACTTCCAGATTCTCCTACTCCAACCCTTCAACTGCTTGTGGATTCTAGTACCCCACCCCACCATTAACTACAGAAGATAATTATTGTATATCATTTAATACTGTAACTACATATTATACCTAAACATTCACCTCACATCTATTTTAAATTGTCTAATTCATGTCTCTTCCTTTATAGTTCGATTTCAGTTCAATGACAAATGAACCCACATGATGTATAATGAGTAACATGTTATTTCAATCTTTGAAATTATAAACTTTTGTTCTTAATTTTTTTAAATATTATTGGTCAAAATAAAACTGGGTGAAGAATTCAATGCTCTTACTAAAATTTTAAAAATAAAAGATTAAAAAGAGGATTTTATATAAAAAATTAAAATAAAAAAATTAGTAAATTTAGTAGCTTTAATATAAATTCATGCTTAACAGTAGAACTTTTGTATGTATTTCAAAATTTGGATTTAGAAAAATAATAGTTAATAGCAATAAATCAAAACATTAAAGTACATGCATAATAATATTTTTTTTAAAGTGTTGGTAAAAGATTTAATGCTTTTGATTTTGAGATGAAATTTAGTAACAAAAAATCTTAAGCTTGAGAAATATAAAAATAAGAAAGAACAAAGTCAGCAAGCAATTGAAAGATATTATTAAACGAAGATGTGATGTTTCTATTATATGACGATTTTATTTATAATTGATAATTTAAATATAAATAAAATTTACATTTGTTATATAAATATAAAATAAGAACACTTTTAGTTAAATAAAAGTGATATTTTTCAAACTTCAACTGAAACATCGGAATAGCAAAGTAGACATTCTTTCTTGTATAACTAACACATCTATGTTATTAGAACTGTTACATTTACTTTGGAAGAAAGCAAACTGAAGCCTCCCTCCCAAGTTAAAGATTCTGAGATGATTAACGGTCTTGATTACATCCTGCTCTTTGGGAATATATGTGAGAGAATCTTTGTATTTTTGTCTTTTCGTATGGCTCTTTGCTTCAACTTTTCTTGCATATTGCTTTGTCTTGAGATTTCAAATAGTTACTTTGCACTTGAGTCGGGTAAAATTGAAAAGATAAAAACATTAAAAAGGATATTTTATATGTAAACAAATTAAAAGAAATGCACCTCATAAACATAATACCACCTGCTACATTTCATTTTAAATCAACTCTCTTTTTATTTATATATTTTAGTTAATCTAAATAATATATATCCTTTATCCTCAACTTTATATTCTGTTTTTCTCCATTTCTTGTGCCCTATGTTTCATACCGAAAAGGAAATGGTGGGAATTCAAACACAGTGATCTGGAATCGGAGGTTAGGCATTTGCATTGAAACGCAGATTTCAACAACTGGAAGAGTGAATATGGCCCTGTCTCCACGTGAGTGAGTGAGTTTTTGTGAGATTCACCGTATTCACGGCATCAATGTTCGTTAACTTTTCAAATCATTTTGTTTTGCAGCTGTTGAGAGGCACAGAATGATAATACCCAACACGCAGGGTCAAAAACTCGTGGGCATATTGCATGAATCTGGAACTAGGGACATTGTCATCTTGTGTCATGGTTTTCGATGCTCTAAAGTTTGTTCCTTTCTTATACATTGAGTAATTACTTCACTACCCATTTATTCTCATTGCTTATTATTTTTTTCTCTTAGGACACCACCCTCATATTGAACCTTGCTGTTGCGCTGGAAAATGCCAAAATTAGTTCTTTCCGCTTTGACTTTTCTGGAAATGGGTAAGTTTATACTGTACCGATACATTGCTGAACTCAAGAGCCATTACTTCTCTAAGTTGTTATTTGAAAGGGAGTTTTTGAGAGGAAGGTCGGTGAGGACAATTTTTTCATTTTTAAATTAATTGAATTATGTCATTTATGATATAAAAAATAAATAAGTCATACATTATATTTCTGCTTACTTATTAATTTGTTTCTTTAATTTTAAAAATTATAAAATTAAAATATGTTTATATTTTTACCCTTCCTTCCAAAATCCTGATTCCCAAACAATCCCTAAAGATATTAAGCATGCATTCGTTTTCTAAGTGGCTTTACTTGTTACTGTATATGTTTGTGAAATTTTATTAGAATTATACTACTAAATCATAAGCTAAAAGCTGACAAATAGAGAAAGGTAGACCACACTCTCTTTATCTTGGTTGTTCTTTTGGAGCTATATATAGTGTTGAGATTATTCTCATTTCAAAGAACTTATCCTACTAGTGTGTTTTGTTGGATTTCTAGAGTTCTATAATAGGTGCAAGGTGAGTATTAAAAGCATGTGTTTTGAATACGTAAAATTTTGTTAATTTTTATTAATTTGGTCGTATGCATTTACTAAGGTGTTACTAATTGTGAATGCCAATGGCATTTATCATTTGATGGATGAATATGATCTATTATGATACCTGAAACAGCATAAAAATTATATTTCTCTCCCTCAAGTTGTGATTGCTTTGGTATTGGTTATATTGCTATCATCCTCAATGACTCAATTTCCCTATAATTTCAACATGGTATTACACTGTACCTTCCTAAGAGTGACCTAATACTGTCACTGTGTTAGATGCTTGGTTTCCAAAATATGAAACTCGTATGCCTGGTGTGAACTGGGTAGTAGTTTCTCCATTTACACTGCATATTCACATTACAAGTTACACATGCTAAAATTTCTGTCGTCTGATCTCCACCATTATCCTTGGTCCATTCTTTGTTTTGTCTGTAACATTAGCTGTTGCGTTTTCCTTCAAGGGAAAGTGAAGGTTCATTTCAGTATGGTAACTATTGGACAGAGGTTGATGATTTACATGCTGTAGCTCAACATTTCCACAAGTCAAATCGTGTAATCAGTGCAATTGTTGGTCATAGTAAAGGTAGGTTGACTTTTTATCCTTATCTGTAAGTGTTTTAACAAGGATAGGAAAGATAGATCTAGATATCATTTTAGTTATATGATTATCTGTTTTGATTTATATAATCATTCATTGATCATGTTCCATTATATACCTGAAAATTGATGAGAACTGTCCTTGTCAAATTGAGTTCTTGTCAACATGCTTTGGATGTTAAGACTGCAACCTTGAGTGATGCAATATGCAGAGAGTTGTGTAACTTTTGATATAAAGCAAGGTTCAGCCTTTATTTAATCGATACATAATGCCTAGCTGAAACTTCTAACATCAAAATAGTCAATACTTCAATTTGTGTATCTGAATTACTTGGCAAAACCATATAAAAATGAACTTGGTCAATATCTTTCACTTTATCATTGTTGTTATCTAGAATTAAATAAGCAAATATATCCTATAGATCTTTGCTATATTTCCTAAACCAGATGATTTATAGGAATAGGAATTAGGAAAGGGCTAAGGTTGATGAAAAATCCTATTCCATTGGGTGGTCATTGACTCATTACATTTCATTTGTAGTTGATGAAATCCAATGCATTAGTGTAGCTTCGGACCAATACATGATACATCTCAAATTCCCCACCCCTCCCCCTCCAAGTTTGCTTCCGTGATTGATCTATTATTAGTGGTTTCTGTATCTTGGCACAGGAGGTGATGTAGTGCTTCTGTATGCTTCAAAATATCATGACATTGAAACAGTTGTCAACCTCTCTGGGCGTTATGATCTGAAGGCAGGCATTGAAGAGCGCCTTGGAAAAGATTATTTAGAAAGAATTAGGAAAAATGGCTTCATTGATGTGAAGAAGAGGAGGTCAGGTAATCTTTCATTTACTCAGGCTTATATTTGAATGCCTGGCGTGAAGTACATGTTTTGAGAGATATATCAATACATTCAGTGTCTATTGCAGCTTGTTTTGTACTTGTTAAGAACCAAACCGTGGCTTCTTTTGCTTTACCTATTAACTTATACTAAAATTTGGAATTGGGGATTACTGTATCACGAACAAGAAGTTCTAGCTGAAATGCCCCTTAATTTACCCCAATTCGTTCTTTTAAATTATTGTAAGTTATAATAAAACGAACCCCTAAAGATGAAAAAAGGAAAGAAAATGTGAAGGGACAAAATGAAAAAACTAAGCAGTAATCATTGATGATTCTGTTCAATACTTGCATGGATAAAATGGCACATGACATGCCTTCCTGTACAATACTCTGTCACACACTGTTGTAGCAATCGGTTGTTGACTTATTCTATAATCATCTGAGGACATCTAGTGTTGCAGGAAGTTTCGATTTCCGTGTAACTGAGGAAAGTTTGATGGATCGCTTGGGAACAAATATGCATGAAGCATGCGTTCAGATTGACAGGGGATGCAGGTGAATGGAAAAGCATGTAGTGTGTTTCAAATTAATAATAGAAAATAAAAACGAAATAATTCTTCTTTGATTTTCAAGTTTCTTCGACAGAGAATTGGAAATTAATAAATTATTTTTTAAGTATCTTTTATCTTTGCTTTCCTGTTTGGCTTCTATTAGTAGCTGTAATTTATGTTGTAAATTGTGGACTTGGTGCTTCATAAGAACTCCTACCTATTTATTTTGTGACTTCGGGAAACTAAGGCAAAATGAGAGGATTTGCAAAGATTAGAAATATACTCTTGATATTACATAAAATGGGTTGCTTTGATTTTGATTTTTTGGGAAACCATTTAGTATGCAAATTTGTGAGGTATTGAATTCTAGGAGAAACTTTGTTTTGCAATGTCATAGTGGTACCACAAGCAACAATTCTTGATGAAGCTATGAATTTACCCCTATGCACGGATGTGCTAATATTGCAAAACACATCATACATGACAGGGTCTTTATAATTCATGGTTCTTCCGATACAATTATTCAAGTTGAAGATGCATTTGAGTTTTCCAAGATCATACAAAATCACAAGTTACACATCATTGAAGGAGCTGATCACGCATTCAGTAATCATCAAGAAGAGTTATCCTCAGTTGTTGTAAACTTCATAAAGGAAAACTTGCACCAGGACAAGAGTACCACTAGCTAGGCATCTATTCTTGCCAGCATATGTATGAACTCTTTGTTTATGAACGTTTTCCCAATGATATACTTGTGGTGCATCTTGCAGTTTCGTCCCAATTGATATATTATGTTAACAAATTGAGTTAACTTTGTTAAAAGATATTTTGATGCTCTTCTTAGTAGTTGAAATAAAAATATGATAAAATTAAAAAAATATATATCATAGAGGTCATTTTTTTAAAACGAATTTAGTTTTTTTACAGCGAGAATGTGAACTGAGATAAAGTATAACTATAATCATCGATTAAAAAATAACCGTCAAAGTTTGAATACTCAATACAAGTGCATGTAATTTATTTATGGCAATCTTAATTATTTTTAATTAATGATTATGTTTATATTTTACTTCTTTAAATTGTACCTTCTCAATATAGTGGAGTTAAATACCCAAAAACATGGATTTATGAGGATGGCACTGTTAATGGGCCATTAAATGCGTTAAGCTGGGCCAACATTTTTTTTATTCTAACTGTGACAAGATGGAAATCCACTCCAGAAGATAATTAACTTTAGCCCATTAACTATGTGTAAGCAAATTAAAGAAAGTTCAAATATTTGAAAAAAAAAAAAAAAGCCCTGCCCAAGGTCAAATTGAGTTTAGTAGAAGTGATTAGTGTTTTTATAAAGTGACCAATCATCTTTCATATTTTTGCAAATATACTCTCAAATTTAGTTCAGACCATGTGTTCAGAGGGTAAAAGTAACCATTAAGAAGTCATAAAAAGTTCTAAAATAAGTTTCTGAAATATTATTCTACAAGAATTAATTTTTAATTATTAAAATTTTTTTAATTTAATTATTTGAGCTTAGAAAAAATAAAATTAAGTAAGAACCAAAATTTAATTATAAAAATAATTTTAAATAAAAGCAAATAACACAACACACGTTTTGATTGAACTTATAGAAGAGAAACTTAGAGCGTATGAGTTTTTTCATTCAATCCTTTATGTTAATTTTCTATTTAACTCTAAATTTAATTTCCTTATAATTATCAATTATTCATACAAATATTATTAATAGTTAATACTCATGCAATAATAATATTCTTTTCTCTAAATTAACATCTACAATTGTCATGCAAGATATTAATTCAAGAAAGTATAAAACACGTATGAATTTGTTAATTTAATAATGATTGAAAGAGAAAAATTGGTTTGATCCACCTAATCATTTATCTCGTTTTATCCTATAGATCTATTAATTAATCGAAGTATGGTAGCTTGACAAAATAATTAATTATGATTATAATTATGCGCAATAGGATAAAAGCTAACCACGAACAAAAACCAAATATAGATTCAAACTTCAAAATTTCATAAATTCATAAACAATAATTTTTATAACCCTAACTATGGATTTAGTTACTCATGCTAAAGGAAAGAACTAGAACAATCATAAACAAAGTTATAAAGAAAAGCAAACTAGAATAAGATGAATTCTCTAAACTTTAAGTATAGTCGCTCGAAGCTCTAAATTTCGCCAAGAATATGCCAACAATATCATGCAACAGGATGAGATGAGAAGTGTATTAGAAAGCAAAACACAAGATGTAAAATGGTCTCCAGCAGATGCTTGAGGTCTCTCTTTTATAAGGTTTAAAAACTCTTAAAGGTTTTCATAATTGAGCTTCTTGCAGATGAGTACGACAGTGCAAGGCTTTAAACACGACTGCGCATGAGCTCAAAGCACCCCGTACTTGTTGAAAGGGTCTGGGCGTGCTGACTGCTGCGAAACTCTGACCTTCTATTAATTTAGCCTAAAATGCATCCAAAATTCACTTGTGACCTCTTCTTATTAAATTATACAATTAACATATAAATCAGTGTAAAACTTAAATAAAATAAAGATCAAATATAAATATGAGTTATAAAATAAGGCCCAAATATAGACTTATCACCATGTCTTATATATATATATTATCAATATCATATTTTTGCAAATATACACACATTTACAGGAGATATTTAGTATCTATTGAAGATTTACATGAATTTGAATTTGAATTTTTTTCTTCGTTGAAAGTGAAAAATATAAAAATAATGACTCTATCTCCATATGATTCTAAAATTCTCTCTTAAATTTAGAAAAGTAAGATAAAATTATCTTTTTTAAAAAACTTGCAAGTATTATAAACTGTTGATTAAGATTGAATGATTAAAAATACAAAATAGAAAATTAGTGATACAAATTAACTTTATTCTTTATTCCACTCTTAGTATAAATTATGATTCACAATATTGATGATTTCCAAATGACATAATTATTTATAAATAATATTTTTAAAAGAAATACAAAAAAATTAAAAAAAATTAAAATTTTAGACATATAATTTACATAAATTTGAGTTATATACTAAAAGTTATATTTTTTTAAAATTTACGAAGTTAAAAATAACAAAATTTAAAAATTTTCAGTATCTTTTATATTGATTCTCTTAATATAAAAAGTAACATTTTGTTTAAAAAAATTATTTTCTATATTAGTTCTGAGAGAACTAATATAAAAATTAAATGTCATGCTTTTTAAATATCAACAAATTTGAGTTTTACTTAACCAAAACAAAGTTCTAAATAAGACAATAATAAATACTTTTGCTAAATTAAAATAATATAGGTTATTTGTTGCATTATTCTTAGCTTTTCAATTTAGTTTTATTAAAAGAATGTGTCAATTTAAATTAATGAATTTTTTTAATTATCTCTTGTTGTACTTTACCTTCTCAATCAAATGGCTTTATTTTTTCCTACTCCAAGGATATTTTTTTTTTAAAAGTCCAATAATATGGATGTTAAAATCTCTTGTAATTCAAAATTTAGAAGATATAGTTGTTTGCGATTGTTGGTTCTATAATTTTGAATGAACCAAAAGTAAAAAATTGTCTTCTACCGTATTTGGAAAAAAGAACAACAAAGAAGAAAGACCTTTGGTGAGTTTTCAATGCCGAGAAATTGAAAGAAGGAGAGAAATAAAGAAAAAGGAGTGATGATTTACTCATTTGTTCTTCATTATTCACTCTATAACTTGTTATTACCTATAAAATTTACTTGAAAATTATTAAATTCTAACTATTTATTTATTACAAAATTAAATCAATGGTCTATAATTATTTACACTTTATTTATTAAAAAATATTGTTTTTGTGATTCTTTTATTTATTTAATTTAAGAAAGGATGTTAAAATCACCCTATTTTCTTGTACTAAATTGCTTTTTCAAATGGAACGTGTGAGCTCTTGGTATTACATGTTGTGACTAAATTCTTCATAAAATGACGAAATTCAACACGCATATTATGGGAGTATGTTACAACTAAGTTTAAGTTACAGAAAATGCATCTCTTACTTTAAAGCAACTCATGTTAGCATTGTCAACTGTACGCAATTTGCTTAAGAACCTTTTCTCTCAGAAAATAATTTGAAAAAGGATTCTAATCTAAAATGTTGAAATATATGTTAAAGATGCCTAGGTTTTGGCTACCCGTCAATTCTGTTTTCGTTTTCGGCATTCGGATTAGTTTGTGAAATTGGTTTATCATATGGTTTTCGTCATGCAAAGCGCAGATATGACTCAAGTAATATTAAATATCAAACAGAACCACCCTTATTTTCAACTATTTTTTCCCTAAAATGTTTATTGTAATAGAACATATGAGTAATGAAGATAATTAAAGAACACACACCTATATATATATATATATATATATATATATCAATATTTTATAACTAATTTAAGTGACATAATTAATGGTTTTTAAATTAGGAGTGTCTTCTAAGTTATACAAGTCATGACCTGGCAGAGAATTGAGAGTATAATATTTATATGTGCACGACAAAAAAAGGGTATTTATATGTACAAGCAATTAAAAGCTGATGTATTAAAACGACAATAAAGTTTAGATTGGAATATATGCTGGAATTATTTTAATGTTTTCTTAAGTTTTTAATTAATCGTACCTATAAACAATATGTTCATACAATAATTGCTCAAAACTTTAACCTTTAATGTCATAGCCAACCCCAAGTCTTTAACTAATGCTAATAAAAATGCTTTGTTAGATTAATTATGTCTCTAAGATACTTTTTTTGTAATAATTTTTAGCTCAACATTTCTGTGAGACTTTTTTCTTTGTGATCTTTTCGATTGTACAAAACGAAGTTTTGAAAAATGAATCAATTGATTTAATCAGTTCGACCTTAATCCGTTCAAATAACTAATCTAGAACCATTACCACATAAAACACTTTTTATGTCAATTAAAATTAACTTTTTATATTGATTTTTTTATCAATATAAAAATAATAATCGTAAATTTTGTACTTTTATATTGTAGTTTTAACCCATGTAAAAAGTGTAGAAATTGATCCGTTTTCTTTGCTTTGAAAGTTTCCAATACTTAAAGCAAAATGGGGAATGAGGGTGTGTGATGCTCACAATTATGGCTAGCATTAGCGCGTAGAGTGCGATAGTTCAAGCGAGTGGCTTATGGCTTAATGGTGAGGACGAGTTGATGATGTGGCGGCTGCTTAGGTTTGGTACGGTGGTGGCAAGTCTGTCTAGTTCGATAATGCGAGTTTGATGTTGGTCGATGGTGGTTTGCGATGAAAGCATGGTTGGTTTGTGTTCTATCCAGCTTGAAACTTACAGTGTTACGTGGTAGTGAGTTTTGAAATTGAAACACACAAATGTCCTTCCATTGCTTAGGGCATCTTTGGCAGTCAGGAAATAAGACTTTGATCCATCTTTAACTTGTATACACTAAATGAAGTGATAAGTTTTAACCTATTAGATGTAAATTAAATAAAAAATTTAAATTAAATATAATTTTTTTTAAAATTTACAAAACTGTAAAAAATCTTACTCAAATATATATATATATATATATATATATATATATATATATATATAATCCTTTATTCATGTGCGGTTATTATTGAGTGTGTTGAAAGAGAGCATTAGATGTTAAAATCTTTTGATAGTTAATTTTGATTTTTTATTAAATATTTGTAGATTAAAAAAATGACAAGTAACACATTAAATATTGTTAAATAAAATAATATTAAAACAACGCAAAAATAAATAAATAGAAGAATAGTAAGTACTCTTCTAACAAAGTTAGCAATCTTAAAGTTACCAAATACAACGAAATTAAATAAAAATAAATAAATCTTAAGATCAGATACTCTTCTAACCAAAAGAGTTTTTCTTTTTCTCTTCTTCTGATTAATATAAAGCCTAATAGTGAGTTAAACCATAAAGAACCAAAATCACAGCTTGAAACATGCCTCCTAACAAAAACATGTAATTGTAGCAACTGTTTATGACAACAATAGTTTGATAGTGGCATGGCAAAACTCCCCCAATGAAGGAGCAGCTCCAACAAATTCAGTTGCTGAGAAAGAATGTGACAAAAAAACAAAACAAAACAAAACAAGGATGATAACTAGTAAGATGCTAAATGAAGGTGTGATAACAATAATAAATGAATAACTTTTACATTGAAGAGAAAATAACATACGGGAAGGGGGCTCCCATAAGGGAGAGAACCCCTAAAAAAGTGCTCAACGAGAGGGGCAAATATATATATATATTCCTGAGTATAATTGACCATCATAAAACTCAAACTTTTCCATAAGATTCTACTTTAAAATTTTCTTTAACTTTTTACTACTTTCGCCTTTTGAGTGTGGTTGTAGAAGACATTCACTTATAATGGCCCCAAGCATCTAATTATTAGGTTAGGCTGTACCTATTTGGCTGTTGATTGAAGATTGGTTGTGATCCCAAAAGCAAAAGGAATCCCTCAGGTCAGCCAAATCCTCCAAAGTAAATTGATCTAAGCCCAAGCATCAAGCTAATTATATATAGCCACAAAATTCAAACTGTAACAAATCGGTAATTGTTTATACTTTTGAATTGAAGATGTTAGGTACGTAGCCAAGGGTGTGAAAGAGAATCGGCGGCAAACTTTAGGATTTGCGGAAAAGCGACGAGAAGTTACGATTTGGTTATGATTATATGGTATCATAATTTGATCAATAGTTATTCTTGTAAATTCTCTTCTCAACAAAGATATAATTCACAGCGTGTGAATGTTGGGATTTCGTGTCCTGGATTTTCCACAACAATAAGACATCGATCATAAAGCATGATCTACTCTGTAGGCGGCATGACAAGTCAACAAAATGATGAGGCTACTAACTTTTTTTGTCTCCTGGTTGCCTGTAAGCTGGAATTAAGTGTTACATGGCCTTTTTTGTATACAATTATGCACTTGTTTAATTAAATAAACTAACTTAGGTCCCTATTGAGGCCGCAAAGCACGTATGTTAACATAAAAGTGTAAAAGAAAAGTTTCACTTTATGGGGCAAAGATCAAAGTGACTTTATTATGGAATCTTGCCTAGCTTAATTAACAATTAATATAAGAAATGCAACCCTCTTATTGATAGTTAACTTATTGATAGTTAACAAGAACGACAACTAGATGAGGCTTACTTTAATTTAAAGGAACATTTTGATTAGTTTCAAGAACTCGTTGCTTAATACTTTGTCACAACAAAAGCACTCGTGGGTCTGTCTGATACCCCAAAAGCAAAAAGTTATTCCTATTCGATCCTACACTACTTTTATCTTCATTTTTTATTATTTGCTTAACATTCCAACGCATTTAAGATATTCGAATTTTTTCATACGAAATGTTAATATTTTAATGATGGTAATTACGTTGTACTAGTTATACCTTTTAGTGGAATACATAACACAAAGTAGAATAAAGCTATCAGATCGCACTACAAAGAGGAATATAAATCCTGAAATCTACAGTTTTTTGGCCTTGAATCCGGGGCACTTCATAATAACCTTCCCAAACTTTCAGAATAGGTACAAGTGACTAAGATATACAAAGCCATTTGCAGATGAAATGGCCAAATTAAGATTAGAGTATCTAAACATTGAGACATCAATACTGGTTCTATGTGCATTCGTTTACCATAGTGTATGTTGCTATATATAGACATTTTTCTTCTTATTTTCACTTTTAATGCTTTTTAGGCACTGCTATGATCTCTCTTGGCTGTTCCAATATCGTTTTATTAGTCTGATTAGGATCTGGTCACTCTGTAATTTGTTTGGATTTTAGTTTTTTAATTGAGAGATTGAATTAGAATTTTAGTTAAATGAGTATGTTTTATAAGATGTTCTAGCTTTAGGACGCAACTTCTTTTTTAACTTCTTGGCCTCCTTCTGTATTTTCCAAACTAAAAATGTGAGAAATTCTCAACAGAAGAAACTAAAATTGAGTGGTGGAAAAACTATTTTTTATATGGTATATAAATATTTACAACAGGCATTTAGATATTCTGTAAATTTAGTTTTATAATTTTTGTGGTCGTTGTTGCATTCCTTGTTTTGCAACGTAGCAATATTTTTTTTTTTCTGTATTCTTCTTGTGTAGTTGTTATTGACTTGATTCGATGATTATTTTATTTTTGCAGGAGAAAGAAGGAAAAAATTGAGAATCTAAAATTTCAATTTAAAATACACATTACTGCCACTTGGGTGTCGCTTTAGATACACTATAGTATTCCCAAATTCCACCCAAAAAATTAAGAGACGTAGCTATAGGTTCCGTTCCTTGGTTATCCTAATTATTCATGTCTAGACTCTCATAAAACATTTATTACACTTTATGGACTGCGATACCATTTGTTTAATGCTCTTGATTCTTTTTATAAGGAGCAATCAGTTACTTTCTTGTGTTCTCTAGTAAAGCAGCGTAATCTTTTGTACATAATTACGAAGAAGGATCTTGCAATGAAGATTATAGTATTTGAAGGCATTTGGCGTTATCATATCTATCTAGCAACCTACGATGATTGATTGTTGTGGCATACAGCTAGGACTCTCAATTTAGAACAATAATATTGTTCCTTGTTAACCTAGGATCTCAATTATTGCTAGAATGCCCCTGTACAAAATTAGGAAGGAAAATTGATTATTAAATAACAATTAACAAAGATAAAGAATCATTAATGCACCAAACACACTCATTGCCCATTAAGAACTAATATAGGATTAGAACGTGATAAAAATCGTCAACTCTTCGGTAGCTTCTAAACTACTAGTCTTTTTAATTAGTGATAGACAAAGTGAGGGACAGAGAGAGAGAGAGAAAGAAAGAAAGGTACAGCTAGCTGTGTGCATCTTTCACACATGATTTTGTCAACCTAACGTATCTAAGGTATGTGTAACCTGATCTATATATATGCCAAAGTCATGCAGCTTTTAACCCCACCCTCTTAACAAAAAAAAGTACAAAAGCTATCATCTGAAGTTTGGGTCCTATGTGTACACTTGTTCCAAGCCAGCTAGCTAACTGAGGTAGTACCACCATATATTACATCTTTTTATTAGTGAAAATATTTAAAAAAGCTAGTTTAATTGTTGTTGAAGATTCTTTGTCCAGGTGATAGAATCATTCTTGGATCAAACTGGTGTTTTCTTTCTAAGAAAGTTCTCCATTTAGGGCCAAAATGGTTCGCCCAATCTTCTTGTGTGCGATAGTGGGGAAGATATTGCTTAACCTTGATCCCAGCATCATTACAAAATTGCAAAATTTCTCTGTTTTGAGCATCATAGGCCTTCCAATTATCAAACCCACTAGAATGCAAAAATCCAACTGTGTAGAAGATATCCTCATCTGGTATTGATGCTGACATCCTGTTGTCCCACCTGAAAATTAGTCTCTAATTAGCTTTTTATTCTTTTTACAATATTAATCGAAAAGAAGTGAATGAGAAGTAGCATGTTAAAGAGAAAAAATGTACTTACAATAACAATACTATTTGGTACGAATAACTTTTTTTTATGAAAAATGTTATGAATAACTTTTTAATCAATCAACAGAGGAATAAGTATATATCCGTGGAAATAGAGAAAAAACTTTAAGAGAAGGAAGTTGTTTTAGGAGAGAGAAAATTCACTTTGGTATATTTAATGAAAAAAAAAAGTCGTACCAGTTAGCATTTTACTTCTAATAATAGCATAAATTGCGATTAGTTCAGTGCTTAATTACTTGTTTCTATTCATGGGGTAAACCAAGACAGGTCCTGTGGTGATGTTTCGTTTAAGGATGATATTCTTGAACACGCCCGAGTCAAAATCCAATATTTGAGATTTCGGTATAAACATATTAAGCCACGGATGAGGAACATCCCACAGTCCTTGTGACTGAAGCTTCAACTCTCCACTTCGGACTCTATTTAAGAACTCAACATAGGAGACATCTTTTTCATAGTAAAATCCAGGGATATAGTTTAGTCCTTGGAGCAAAACTTGGAGTTCCTACACAAACATAAAAATTAGAATATTATTACTATCTTCAATCTTTTACTACTTGTAAAAACTAAATAGTGAAAAGTTTAGCATTGAGTGTGCTAAGGGTTATTAAGGTGAGACAGAAAAATAAAAGTAGAAAAAAAAAAGGACACATCATCAAGGCAATTGCACATGAATAGAGATAGTACCTTGTCCACATTGTTTTCATTTTGGCCATCATAATATTTGGCAACTTCTAGGCAATAGAGGACGCTATGTTTAGTTACTAGCGAAATTATTCGGGGATGGTCGGCTAAAGGGAAGAAAGAAGATCTCCAATTATTTATGGGTCCCTGGTGCATTAGTAGCATCCCTTCCAAATAATCCAATGCAAAATTTTGTTTCCTTCCATCGATTGAGATTAATTGTTCCTGGTCTTTGGCAAAAGCAGAAAAGTCATTGTACAATAGTCTCACCCATTTAACCTGCCAATAAAAATTCACCATTAGTCGATACAATGTACTGATTAGGTCATTATCGTACTAATGAAAGACAATAATGAACGCATGATGACGGTTTATGCAATGAGTCCCATCAAATAGAAGGATAAAGTTGAATATGGTACTAGAGTACATTGTGTTCTTGCCTATTCTTCAAATGAATGATCTCACCAACTTCATCATAATGGAAACATATTTATAATGTATAGACCTAGACTTGCAAGTGTTTTCAAATAGCGTTGTTAGTTGAGTTTGATAAACGAAATAGAATTTGGATCGTTGACTAGAAAGGATAATATGAGCCTTTTTATTGGTACAAATGCTTATAAATATTTAATTTCAAATTTCAATAAATTCAAGCATATATATATATATATATATATATATATATATATATATATGTATATATCCAAACACGGATTTTCATGCCTTTTCAATTTCAAAAATCCACGTTATTCACCTTTAACTCATCTCGTTTTCTTTTGTATGCGACTTTCATGGATGACTAACATGCTCTAGCATAATGTCAAACTTAAATATGTGGGTGCCAAGTGCTAAGAAAATGATAACATAGTGCTTTCTGGACAAGGACATTTGATGCTTCCGTAAAGTGAGATGGTTGAACAATGTAAAACGTAGAATTGGCTTTACTATAGGAAGTGTTGGAGGAAGAAGCTACAAGACAAAAATCCTAGTCATTTCTCTAGATATAAACGTACCCTCTTCGGTGCTGGCGCAAGAGCAATTCTTGCCCTTGTTATAATTCCAAATTGTCCTAAGCCTCCAAGAACCGCGTGAAATAACTCCGAATTCGTCTCCGAAGAACAGGTCACAAAATCTCCTTTTCCTGAAACCAAACCAAAACTTGATTAAACATAGATTATAAAATATATTCTTGCATGCATGCACATATTTTTTAACTAATACTTTAAAATCTAACATTCTTTTTATTTATTATAATATAATTGATCAAATTAGACTTGGGCCAACAATATAATCCACTTATTCTAAAAAAGGAAAAAATTAATCAAGAATATCGGAGGCTATGACGGTGTGAACTGGCTCCATAATTAAGAAAAAATTCAAACATAGGCCGGTAAGCGCTGGCTAACATTCACCAAAATTGTAGACAAAAACTCCCTTAACAACGACTAATTCGGTATTACGTAAACAATAAAATAAAATCAAGTTAGGGAAATTTAGTTCCAATTTTTTAATAAAAAAGAAATTTTGCTAAAAAAATATAAAACCAAGCTTGAATACATGAATATTAATTCAAGACTACATCCAAAAGGAAACGTTTATAAAAGTACCAGAGGAAAAGACCCACTGAGCAACTCACCATTATACCCAATATTGGACAAAACAAAGTCATCCCGTTCCCATTATATATGGTTATAATTAAAAGAAAAAAAAATCAAGATTTAAAATAATTTCTAATGTATTACGTTTGTTAAATTTATAAAAATAAAAATGTTAGAGCATTCTAAAGCGTGACATTATACGACCTTGATTTTTTAAGCACTAATTTTCATCCTTATTTAAGAAACACTTATCTCTCTTTTTTTATTTCATTTCATCGAATGTATAATATATTATACTCGCTCCTCCAAAGTGTTTGATTATATATTGTAATTAAGGGGTTAAAAGTAAGCTTAATTAATTAAATTCATACCAGTGACAACATCCAATTGACGAACAGTGGTGATTTGAGGTCCATAGCGGAATGTTTGGCCACTGATGCCAGCATTGGAGAGAGTTCCTCCCACAGTTAAGTACAAGTAATCAGTCCAAGAAAGAGGTGCAAGTCCATGCTCAAGAGCTGTATTAAGCACATCAATCCACAATTGCTCCCCTCCAACATCAGCATAGTAACCAACCAAAGGGTCCACAGAGACCCTTATTCCAACCCCATTCTCTCCCTTTCTCAACCCCGCCATGTCCACCACCACACCCTCACGTGCCATCGCTTGTCCGCGAGTGGAGTGCCCTTCCCCTCTCGCCGCTATGCGCAAAGGGACAGAGCTATTGTACGACACCTTTATCAGCCTCACTATGTCGTACACCGATGATGGACGAAACACCGCTAATGGGACATCGCGTACGAGGTTGCCGTAGTCCTTTGAAGCTCCTTCCAGGGCTTCAGGGTCGTAACGGAGCGCGTTTGATAGCTTTTCCTCCACAGTGGTTAACTCTTGGGGGAGCAGAGCTTTGTTCCATTGCTCCGTTTTTCCCACTGTGGAGATCAAACGTGTTATGGTTATTAGTAGGAGAATGAAGTATGTGGGAAACGGGTAGTTCTCAACCATTTTGGTTTGTTTGGACTTAATTTGGAGAGAATAAGAAGAGAGAAGTGATTATGGGTCTTTGTTAACGGTGGTGGTGGCCTTTTTCTCTTTGTTGTTGATGTGTTGTAAAGGAGGTGGAGGAGGTAGGGCTATATATAGACTAGAAGCGGGCTTTGCATGATAAAGAAGGAGAAAAATATTTGAGAAACACAGAGGGGAGGGAGAGAATCTTTTGTCTTTTTGAGTTAAAGATTTAGAAAGAGGTGATTTAGTTATAAGGAAAATGTCTCACATGCCCTTTTAAAATGGGAAAATATTTCTTTTAGATATAAGGAGGTGTATATATTAAGTGAAATACGAAGACAAGAGAGAAAAGGAATATGTATAATAAGTGATGTGCTGTAAAAAGAAAAGGGGTAGAATGAAATAAAAGGTTTTAAATGAGAGTATTTATAAATTAAAATTATTTAAGACATTGGCCTTGTTAAGGAGTGTTCAAATATATTATTTAAGAAATTAAAAATATTACAAAAAAAATATGCTAAATATGAATTAAAATTGAGATTGAAATATATTAAAAATATTTTTAATAAAAAATTTCACTTAAAATACTAATTAGCATTTATCTTAAAGTAAAAAGAAATAAAAAAGAAAAAACAATAAATGTAACACAAAATAATAGAAAATGGAGAAAAATAGAATAAGTGAATATAAAAAAATACTGGTATGAGAAATTAGAATCAATATTTTTAAAGTTGAATTGAAGTGGAAGAGTACTTTTACTTATTATGTAATTTTATATGAAAAGTATAAAAATAAATCATATGTACGTCTGATAAGAAATAAAAATAAATAAAAACTAAACAATAATGGTATTTTACATTTTTATTCTTTTACGTTAATCTTACACTTTTTTTATGATAAGAAAAGAGGAGACAAAAACTTTAATATGTTTTGCTCTATTTTTCACGAGGATAAGTATAGTAGCAGTGTGAATAAATGAAGGTGTGAGAGAAAAATTATTCAAAACCAAGTTGTACGTCGTGCAAATTTTGGAAGGGATGACTAAATGTCAAATTCAAAGATACGATCGAAGGTCCAGAGATTATATTTGCCCTTCCTTCTGAAACGTCATGAAGTATTTGTAAAATAAATACATTAAATAAAGCAATTAATGAAGTGTTTGGCCTTCCTATTGGTTTAGCTATGATTGTGTTTATATGTGCATCGTCATCGTGATCACGAAGATTCCCAGCAATCGAACCCACAACCTTCTTCCATCGTTGGCCTTTAATTTACCTAGTAAAGAAAAACATATATCTTGAACCGTTGGATTGTAATCTCATGGTCAAAGATTGGTCAAGTTTGGTCAATTCATACACATTACACTGTTCCTATTATATATAACAATTGGAATTTCCAATTTTAGGGGATTAATGAGAGGGAGTCAAAATTAGGTAATTATCAAAAGGATCTCCCTAGATTTTCTTTCCGGGACCATATGACTTCTCATGGATCAAACTATATTGCTTTCAACTTTAATTTCTAATTCATGGAAGGGCAATGTCAATGGAAACTGAGGGAGACATCGCACCGGATTTTCTTTGGGCCAAGATTTTGTTAGAGAGCTTGATCTAATCCCAACATGTAATAAACAATGAAAAGTATAGCTAACCGTAACACAAAAATGTGCCTGTCTTGCAACAGATAAGTCATTTGAATGTCTACAACATGACACGATTTTCTCTCCTCTTTTTTCTTTTAGATTTAACATGTTCTAAGCCAAACAAAACAATGATAGATACAATGGAATTATTAAATTGCTAAGGGGGAATCCAATAATTAATTTGTATTGGCTACTGATTGAACTACACCTAATTTCCCAATTGCTCTCGCCAAACCTTACGTGGTGAGTGAAGCATGCACTCTATCAGAATATAGGAAGAAAACAATGACATGCTAAGCACACGCAAGAGAATCCATCGAACTGGTTAGTATAATAATTTAATATGGCTACCTTTCAGGGGGTGTTCTAGTGGGTGATACATATATTTAAGTATAAATGTAAGAATAATTCGAACTATATAAAATATATGTACCGAATTATTCTTTTAAATAGGCAATGCAAGTGTATGATCCAAGGTCCTAAACAAAGACTTTGATTGGGAGTGGAAACAACAAAGGGCGTTCAAAAACAATCTTTGACCTATAGATCTCGCAGGTAGGAGGAGCTATCATACACCAAGACCCTCCACCAGGTTCTGTAGAACCATATTCTACTAATGCTTCAAATTAAAGATTGCAATCTTTGACGATACATATGTTTCATGCATGACTAATAAATGCTAAAAAGAAAAAAGAAGACGACTTCAAATGTTACGGGTTCATTATTAACCGAAACGGATAGAACCAATGGAAATTGAAAGGTGTTCCATGTAACTCATGTTAGAGATACTCAAATCAAGGACTTGATGGGAACAACTCTATATACCTTGACCCATGTTCAAACAGCGATAGTTAGGTCTTCTACCTAACAAAACGAATATCTCCTTATCTCTTCAAAAGAAGGGGGAAAAAATAATGGCACCAAAAGGAAAAGAGTCACTCTTTGTAAAGTAAATTTTGTTGTTCGCAACATATGTACCATAACAAAATTTCATATCCTTTGTTGTGTAGGTCCACCATCTGTGTCTCGGAAATGTTTGGTAAAATTCAAATTCAACTGGAATAGAATAGAGATGTAATATGTTGCCACCATCAGCGACTGAGATTGAATATTCTACACTTTTTCTAGTGTTTTATCATAAGCAATACATTACACGTGCTCGCCAATATTCCGATCAATCCCTATAATGGCACTAGTAAAGCCATAATCATAATTATATTTTAGAAGAAAACTCCAAATTCGTGCTTCGAAAATTTAGGGCGAAAAGTTTTAATTTCTGATCAATAATACAAAATCACATACCCATTTTTGAAAATCATAATATTATTCATGCATATTAATCTTTAAGCTCCAGACACAATCATTTCTGACAAAGACTAATATATATGATGCATATTTGTAATTTTTAAAAATAAGTCAAAATTTCAATACTTTTAAATATTGATGTATTCACCATAAAATTCTAGTTTCATTATTTGAATAATAAAAAATTGACACTCTGTATAATCTTTTTTATTTCTTAAAATTTTATTTCAAAATTAAAAAATATTATTTATAACACTTATTTGTTTTAAAATTATGAACCTCAATTCTTGTAATTTTTCAATAAACAAATGTATCATTCAAATGCACATCTCAATTTGATACTCAACTTGAATTAAACAGAGACATATAATATTAAAATTTTGGATGAACAAGTTTAAAAACTTGGATTAAAATAGACACAAAGCGTGCATGAATGTGAGAAAATGGAAAAAAGAAGGGTAAGGAGTAGTACCCTAAACCGTGCAGAGGAGTGGGAGGGGGAGAGAGAGGGGGGGGTTGTGGGGGGACTGTTTGTAAGATATTGAAGATCTTTATGGGGATCCAAGCCAGGCAGAACAGAGAAGCAATCAGATCACGTGGTCCAAGAAACAACAAAAGCAAACAGCTTTTACATTCCACAGTGCTGAAAACACCATCGTATCCATGTCACTTTGATTGGAAGATAGTGCTATAAGCAATATACGGCCGTACGTGCATGGAATTTGAGGAAGTACTATGTGACAGAGAGCATAGATGTCTCTTATCTCTGTATTTTCATCCCATCACGTTGCTTCATCTCAACATTCATTAATCGCTTGCTGTCATTTTTTTTATTTCACTCTACATTATGTTTAGTGGTTAGTGGAGCTCACACAGTGGCTGTTCAGGTGTTCAGTGACATTGTAACAACTAATCATCCAAGTCCTTTGAACCAGACACCCCACCCCATTTCCTGTGACTATATCAACAACTATCTTTCAATTCAATGTTTATTTTTAAGTGTCATTTATGTGGCAATATTAAGAGTATATTTTGTCACCATCTACCACCATGTCTCGTTTCTCACACTCTTATCCCATTCAATTGATTGACGTCTGTGTTGTCTCAATTATGATATGATTGACATTTCATCGGTCAATTAACAATCCTTTGTAAAACTTATTAGTGTTTTATTAAATCATCAGTCCCGTTAAAGACAACCCCTCCCTTTTGATACCATGTACATAATCTAGTTTTTAGTAGCACTACTTTATTAATACTCAAGTCATGTTCAATGTTCTCAAATGAACCTGGATCATGTAAACTCTGTAAATTAAAAAAAAAAATAGAATGAAACAAAAAACAATTATTTTTTTTAATGGAATTAGACAGATATTTTATTTTTATTTTGAAAGACACTCCAATTGAAGCCAACTAATTTTAAATATATTTTTATTTACTTCGATAAAATAATATGTATTACACTATCGTAGGTAAAAATTTACAAATTTGAACAATAAGTTATGATTTAAATATATTGTTCGTATATTCTTACGAATGTTATTGATAATATATTAACTAAATATGAATTATGTGATGAGACTCCTAATAGTTTGAATTAGTTTTCAGTGGCTGGATGTTATTGGGTATACTCCTGTACTTGGATTGTGTACAGAAACTCAAGTCCTGTATCATTTCTTTTTTTTTTCTTTAATAAAACTTCATATGGTTTATTAGAAAATTTCTTAAGACTTGTGATATGATGTGTATTTGATATAATTAATATTTCTTTTTAAAAAATCAAAATTTCGATCTAATTCAAACCTTTATATGATTGAATTGGATTGCACTTCAATCCAAAATAATTAAATGGTAAACCAATAAAATATCAAATTATTTTTTTAAGCCAAAATAATTTTGTACTGTTGTGAGAATTTATAAGATAGATAATATATAAAATAATAATCAAATTTATTGCTTTCAATATTAATTTATTCATTCATAAAAATATTATTTTGATTTTAATGTTTGGTTTTTTAACTAAAACAAATTAGTGACTGTATTTGGAAAAACTTATTTCAAGTCCTGAAAGTATATATCTTAAAATGGATGAGGTTAATGAGGTTATTTTGTAATGAGTGATTAAGGTGAGTATTTGTTCTAAGAAAAATATGAAGTGTCTGGCGTGCGCATTTGATTTAACTGCCACCTATTAACGAAGAGGAATTTAGTGTGCGGTCGGTTCCCACCTGCCTAACGAGGAGGAACAAGGAACACACACAACTAT